CCCGGACGCCTCCACCTCGGACCGGACGCCGGCCCTTCAGGTCATGGGGGCCTTTTCCAAGCACGGCCCGGCGACACGAGAGACACCGGCTGCCCCACACGGCTTTCAGTGGGTTGGGGCAGCTGCTACGGGTCGGACAAGGGGTTGGTGTGGTTTTTCAACTTGGTGAAGCATGTGAGGGATGTCTCTGAGAGGATTTGCATTGAACGTTTATTGGGGAGGGACATGAGAACCCAAAACCGAAGAATTGTTCGGCTTCGTGCCACCGGTTCCTGAACCATCCTTTTTTATTGGGGAATCTGACATGTATTGACATATACTGACTCACTGATCATGCCTTAATGGGTTTTTGTTCCTTGCCACTCCTTTCAAATCAGAGAGCTGGCAGCGCAGTCACCTGGTGCAACAACTAGGGCTCCATGTGGGATCTTGATCTTTTCAAGCTGGTGACTCAAGGCCAGGTGGTCACTCAGGAGCTGGGAACAGGGGTTGGCTCAATCACGTCTAAGGTTTTAGTGCTTGTTTGCTTTGGAGCAGTCAGCAACTCTTTGAGGTTGCTGGCTGACTGCTCCTTTGGTCAAAACGAATCACACATGGCCCACTCGCTCTGCACTGACACCCCATCGTTTTAAACCGGCAGAGTGCACGTTCTTTTGGGGGTATCTGCATGTATCTACCTGTGTGCTTTGGCGGCCTGGTTGGCCTCCCCAAGTCTTTCAAGTGCCTTGCAGGTGGTACCCGAATACCCCCCATCTTGAAGTGGCGCAAACTCTAGTGGGGCACACCTGTGCCAAATAGCTACATGCCTCTGTTGGCTCCTGCTAAGCTGACCCAGGTGGCATGCCAGGGGGCATGCCAGGCGGCATGGGCGGCATGCCAGGCGGCATGGGCGGCATGCCAGGCGGCATGGGTGGCACAGGCACGCATGGCTCATGCTCCGGATGTAGTAGCTTCTTGCTACTAGTAGCTTCTAGCTACTAGTTAATGTTTGTTTCACAATTGTGAGAATTGATCCTCTCGATTCTCTTGGACAAACCTGTCAACGGATTAGCATGCCTTAACAAGGTGGTGAAGAGTGATGGGTTCTTCCTATAAGTCAGTGATGTTGCGCATCGGCGCGGGCATTGGCTTGCCACTTTGTGTCAGCATTGCATGGGCATTGGCTGAACCCTTGGGTTTCACTGTGAATGATCTGGTTGCAGATTGATTGAACATCTCCATCAGATTGAACAATCTTCAAGGGATTGCCAGCAGGTTTACATAAGCTAGACTCAAAACGATAACACACTCACCAAATCCTGATGACCTGCAACTCCTCAACACATTTTGACTGTTGCTCATACAATTTTAAACATCCCCTCAGGCGAGGCCCTCGTTCAGCCCGATGTGGACGAAAGACAGGTCGATAGGCCAAGATAGGTCGAGACTGACGTGAGAGGATCGACGGGTAGATCTTTAGGCTGCTCCGAGCCCAAAAAAAGTCTCGCAACCGCGAGTTTGGCTTTGGCTGTTTTTTACTACATGATACACACATGTACGAACAGGTTTGTACGCAACACCCCCGGATCAAACCCAATGTTTTGACTACTCTATTGCCCGCTTATCCTCAGATGTGCGGGGGGGGGGATGGGTGCCGCAACATGGTTGTCTCACCATCTGTACATTTAGATTCCAGTTTGAATTCTCACCTGCTGCACTTCTGGGAGCTTGGCCACACAAGTAAACTACAACCAAAGATCCTCTGTTGTTTTGCATGGACACGGCGCAGTCCTTCATCTTGTACTGGGTGACAATGTGAGACACAGCAAGAAGAAGCCGGTCAAGATGAAAGGAAGGTGGAAACGGACACCTCCCTGCTACTGACCAGCACACGCCCAAGACTGGTGGCAGATCATTGTCAGACTGTCATTGACCGTGAATAGCGCTGCTTGAAAGACCTTGTCACTCTGAATCAATCTGTAGCTACAGTCTTGATAAAGTCCTCCTGAGAAAAACATGGTGTCCTCTCTGAAGGCCTTCCTTGTTTGCATAGTTTCTCAATTGTTCAACCCTCATTTGTTTTCAAGTTTTTCATTGCGCCCGCACAGGGGGCCACGCAAAATCTCAGGACCCAGTTGACCCAGTTGACCCCGACGAACCACCACCACCACCACCACCACGACCACGACCACTAGCACTACCCAACCGGGATACCCGTTCAGCTGGGTCAACCGGGTCAACCGGGACAGCACATTTACCAGCCCCTTTGCCGATGCACTCAAGTTTTTCTTCTTGATAAGGATACCACCCTTCACATCCTTCGTCCTTCTTTTCAAACGCCTCTGTCTCTACAGACAGGTGTTATCCTGGGTTGAGCCCTCCCCTCGATGGGACATTCATCAAACTCCGGCCCTTCACTGATAATGGTGTTCCGCCGAATGTTCTCCGAATGTTTTTGACGAACTATTCATTGTTGCCACTCTCTTTGTTGCCTGAACTATTCATTTCTGCATTCGCATGCACATATACATACACACACATGTGTATATATATATATGTACATGGTATTCATGTGTATGTATAGACTAATGAATGACACAAATAATTTGGCACACGCAAGTACACAAATGTTTGGACCGTTGGACCATTCTAGTTGGGCTTTTCCAGCTACTCAGTCCTCAGTGTTTGGGGGATCAGGTCAGGGACTTCATGAGAAAATTTGTTCTATAAAAGGCAACTCTCGTTACACCGCTCTAGACGTACATGTGGAGGCTGGCAGCACCTATCAAGCTTTGACCTCCCACCATCCAAGTTCCCTGTCCCAACTGCAGTGTGGAATGCCCTACAAGCTGCTTGTTTAGGGCGCGCTTTTGGCAATACTCAGGGCGTGTTACAGATTTGCACGGTGGATTGGAGCCAGGAGTTCGGAAGGTGGTATAAAGCCGGACTTCAAGGACAAAGGACCAAATTGATCTTTAAACCCAGTGGAATGTTGGGGGGTGGCCACATCCCCGCAAACCCAAAACTACTGCAAGACTTGCTTTTGGCCTTTAAATCATCCAATAACCATTCATAGATGCATATTGTATCAAATGTAGCGAGAAGTAAGGTCACATGAACCTCTGCCCTCCGAAGGCAGCGCTTCTGGTGGCCCAACCGTGGAAGAGGCCGGGTGGACTCTCAGGTGAGCAGGCAGTCTGACTGCTTGAATCCAAAGTGGCCAACAGAGTGAATCAACATCGTGAATCAACAGCGTGTCATCGCCCCAAGGAACTCCAGGGATGGGCGACTCGATCACACCAGGGATCGACTCGGATCCCGCCGACCACAACCGGAGCGGTGGCACGGTCGCAGGTGCCCGAGTCCAATGTGGACGAAGTGGATTGAGGCCACCAAGTGGATTGCCACCGTTTCCGCGGTGTGGACGAAGTGGATTGAGGGCTTCGATCGGTGGAACAGCTCAACTGGACTGTTGTAAGAAACAACCTGAAACTCTGAAACACCTGTTACGTGGTGTGCATGCTGGCGTTCTGCACTGGAAGGGTCACTTCGACTACAGCAAAACACAAGAAGTATGACCATTGGCCATTGGTGTCGAACATTCCCTTCATGCACTTGTAGCAGTTGCTGTACTCAGTCTCCTGCATTGCTGGTCTTGCTTGAAGTTCTTATGCGTTCTTAAGCGATGGCAGTGGACAACAACCGGCTACGAAGTGGGTAGTCGCGGATTGTTTCGAAGCCCAAAAACACCAAAATACATGTTGAAACCATGTATGGCAAAAACTCGCTTACATAGGCCCCACACCCAACATGGGAAGATGGTTTTCCGGGATGTCTTCCAGGAAAAATAGGAGCGATCTTCAATTATTGTTTTTCACTTCTTATTCTACTTCTTGGATGATAGGGTTTATAAATTAAGAGCTCAAGATAAGACCAGAAATATATTTAATGTATATAAATGCTATTTTTCTATCATAAGATTATTCCGGATATAATTGCCAATAGAATAAAGGTGATCTGGGGTAGAGAATTCATATCCGGAATACTGTCCTTTCATTTTTTCATTCTATTTTCTTATTATCTTCTGGGATTTTCTGTTTATGTTGGTGGGGTCCTTTATTTAAAGCTCTATCTGAACGAGCCGCCGCCGAGGACCTGGGGCTGTGCCGACCGCGCGTCTCGTTGAGTGCAGAACTCGCCGACGGCCGCGTGGACCCTCCACAATGCCTGGAGTCCGCCCAAGTAGATGATGTATTAGTGTATATTTGGTGCGGATCAGAAGTCCGGTGTCATGGTCTCTTTTTGTGTTTTGTGTGGGTGCGCATACTTCAGGCAAGCCCCTAGCAATATCTTTTCTAGAATCTAAGGTGGCGTTACAGGCTGTTCCAGGAGTTAGAGTGGATACTTCAGACGGAAGTATCGAATGAACGCTTTGAAATTGCGTACAGCCGCGACGAACAGGATCGAATCGCATTGACGAATCGACAAAACGTGGCAAAAGGAGCAAACACACATGTCGAATAATTTACGACATTTTACTACTCCAAAACTTGATTTTCAAGGAATGCGTTTCTTGCTTTTGAGGATAATTTTTTTTCCCGAAAGCATTGCGAAGGGTTCTTCCGGAAAATCCCTTGAACACTGACACTTCGACACTTACACTTACACACTGACACTTCCACCACATTTGCACGACATACACTGACACTTCGACACTTACACTTACACACTGACACTTCCACCACAGTGTAAGGGGAAGAGCGAAAGCATCCAAGTGCAAAGTATGCAAGTGTCAAAGTATGCAAGTGTAAGTATGCAAGTGATGGGTATGCAAGCACGCAGTGTAAGTATGCAAGTGATGGGTACGCAAGCATGCAATGAGCATGCAAGCATGCAATGAGTAGGCAAGTGTGAGTATGGAAAACTAGCACGGGAGATGTCCTAATGAAAACACATTTCCCCACTTTATAAATTCTCTCTTAAAGGCGGAGGGCGGGACGAACAGCGTCAACCGAAAGTGCAACCCTCTGCGGAGATCGTGCGTGTCGAGTGCGCGAAGTGCAGGCGAGAGCGCGATCTGTGAGATGACCGCGCAACCCTCTGCGGAGATCGTGCGTGTCGAGTGCGCGAAATGCGGGCGAGAGCGCGATTTGTGAAATGAGCACGCGACCCTTTGCGGAGATCGTGCGTGTCGAGTGCGCGACATGCAGGCCAGAGTGCGATTCGTTTAGCAGCGGAGCAAGCTGTGGAGCTGGAAGCTGAGAACTGGTGACTTCGTGGCACAACTTCAGTACGCGGAGTAGCTGGGCTCTCGGAAGCTGAGAACTGGTGACTTGGTAGTACAAGTTTAGTACGCGGAGTAGCTGGGGAGTGGGAAGATGAGAACTGGCGAGTGGGTAGTACAACTTGAGTACGCGGAGTGTCTGGGGAGCTGGAAGATGAGCACTGGCGACTTTGTAGTACAAC